ATGGCAAAGCATATGGCATTTGAGATACATCACACATCTGAACAGATGTATTGAAGGCCCAAACAGTAGGCAGGGAAAAATGGTCGCCCTTTTTAACGTTGTGTGAACGATGCATTTATTGGCATGGGATGAAGATGAAAATGCTTTTAATTGGATCCAATGGGAATGTCCGACAGAAACCATTTTCCATTGTACATTCGTCGAAAAGCCATACATTTATTTTTTTTCATGCATTACATTTCATTCCGTGCACTGATCACTGAGCACAACAACGCCATAATGAAGAGTACAATTCTACTTTTACCATCGCTCGTTCTTGGGCTCATCGACACAGCGAAATTACTGTCGAGCTTTTATTAAATCTCAACAATTCGCTTCAACCTTTTGTCGAATTGCAAAATAATGTTTGAGGTCTGCTCCTCTTACGATACACACGCATTCCGTTCCATTCCATTCTCATTTGAAATCACATTCAACTAACTTTATTTCTGTCCCGTTTCCATACCGATGACGTTTTCACTTGTGCCGAACATAAAACTGTCTCGATATCATTTGGAAAGTGGTGATTTGCTGTCGCTGAGTCGGTCCCATTGACTTCGGCCCATTTTGATCCCGGCAAAATAAGAAACTTTTTTTTTTCTTTGACATTTCGTTGCAATTGTTTTTCGGATGCCTGGTGACCTGTTTTCGTCGGCTTTTTTTTTCTGCTGTTGTTGTTGTTGTCATCGTCATCGTCGTCGTCTCAACATGTGCCTCCTTTTTATTCTTTCGCATTGTAAATCGTGACGCATAATAAAGCCGAAGCCGAAGCCAAACCATTACATTCCCATAACCATAAATGAAACTCATAATGTCGCTGCTTTTCGGAGTGTATAGAGTTGTAGTAGCGGTATGTCTAATAGCCCGCAATCAAATATACTCAGAGAGCAAAACCGTCATGTCTTATGTAGTGTAACAATAGCCGCACGCATCACAATCGCAATCACAACAATGGCACAATAGAATATGAGCATGGGGAAGATGTTGGCGTCAAAGGGGATCAATTTCGATTGGTTTGCAGTAATGTTTGGTTTTTTTTTTCTTCTCTGCTTTGATTTTTCACATCGATCGAATGACAAAACGTGCCAAACCCATTAGTAGCGTTTCAACTATTAATCGAATGACGATTTGATCATGTGTACGCGACACCTAGTCGATTTCGGGTAATTTTATTTGCAACACATTCACTCTCTGGTTGACGTGTCGTCGAGTGTGGTCAATGGCGGCACGTAAGAGTTGCCAAGTGATTCAACAACGTTGCGCCAACTTCTTACACACACACATGATAGGAGCCCTATGCTGGGTTGATTGACACATGAATAGAGTTCATAATAAAACGACTCTGACTCTCTTGGAATAAAAGACAATTCGTCTCATTAGAATCTTACGGTTTTTTATGGCTCATTCCATTCCATCAAACGAGACTGAAACAGTAAAAAAAACCGACATCGAAATAAGTAATAACTTATTATTGAATAATTCTTTCGATCCGTAGATTAAATTTCATTCAAGCCGCTGTTGGTATTTTTTTGGCCAATTTATTCGGATTCGATGATGAAGTTTAGTGAGTTGAATCCGTGGCTAGCCACAAGTCAGCAAATAAATATAAATCAATTCCCTAAATCGACAACTAAATAAACTAATAGAGATACAAATGCTGTGAGACGGTCATATGACAGAGTCCCGGAGACGGCAATTTATATTTTCCCGAAAAAAAAGAAGAAAGAACCAAAAACCGAGATGAGAAAAGAAGAAGACGATACACGTTTAAACATAAATCGAATAAGCCATCAAATCGAAACGACATTCGCAGCATGCATGCGAAGCTTGAAAAGTTAAACTTGCACACAATACTGGACTCGACCGATTGCCGTTGCTGCTGCTTTGGCTGTGGTGGCTGCTGCTGCTGCTGTTCATTCGTTACGTTTGGCTTATTCTTCCTCTCGATTTATCAAAATCAATGTACAATAAAAATCTATGGCCAAAGAATCTTCTCTAATACACAATCTATTATCGTATATTTATATTGCCATAAATTTCATTGAGTCAGACAAGCCAAAAACCGAAACCGGCATATTGAATCGAAATATGTGCGAGTGTGGAGCATACGGTTTACGGCTGGATATATGTCAATATGGCGAATGTGGTAGTAAAAGCCAAAACGAAAAACGACACTTACCAATAATAAAATATCATATGAGGCCACTCTTCCTCAATTCCAAACAAACGAACGAGAGCGAGATCGAGATAAAGGCCATTGCCGAAACCAAATTCAATAAATTTCTCCAAAGGATTCGCTTCGATTGTAAAATAACAATATCCACTAAGAAAATAATTCAAAATCAATTGGGTGTGAGCGAGAGGACGCAATTCAACCCATTATTCTATGCCGTTTGGTTCATCAGTGCGTGTATGCATCACCATATTTAATAGGCATAAATCATATTTAATCCACGCAAAATGAAACCAGTCAATCCTCTTTTGAGCGAGAAAAAAAAGCAACTACACTGCTAAATAAATCTCACTTTATTCAACATCACCGGACCTTTGTTGCGGCCGCATTTAATATTCGGAATTCCGAAAACAAGTGCAAATCTATATTTTCACCGGTTATTTAAACAAATCGACTGTTTTGGTTTTTGTTTCGTTTCGTGTGTTTGGATCGATTCAAATCCGGTTTTCATACACAAACCACTCAAGCCGATTTAATCGGTCGATTTTTTTTTTTATTTTGGTGAATTTTGTGTGTTGATGTAATCGCATTGAAAAACTGAATAAACACATGAAATTATTCAATCAAAGCATTCACACAATTATTCAGTTCGTTTCGTAATTTATCGATAAAAACGTGCAAAATACTACAAACCACTTCGATTTCAACGAATCGATCGGATTCATTGTGTCATGACAACATTGAATTTTTTAATTTGAACACCTCATACTCTCAAGCACAGAATACTAAATGATTTTCATTCACTTGACTTTATTGCACGTCGCGTTCCTAGCACTTTTGCTTGAATTTTTTTGTTTTGAACAAGTTTTGAGCGGAACGTTTCAATCAAACTGCTCATATGTTTGATGTATGCATTTAAATAGACAAAATAGTGCTATTATGGCAAGAAGAAGTTCAATGTCACGTTATGTATTTAATAGATGAAAACAATAGAAACGACATATTATTTTTGGAACTACTGATAAGTGTTTCTTTTGTTGTTAATACCAAAGCAACCAAGTCGTGTGCTATGCCAAAACTTCTTTCGATCGAAGTAAGAGCCAACTGTGTTGAACGATAGAAAGAGATATATATGCGTAATGGTTTTTACCAAAGTTGATATTGTTCATGTGACGCCGAGTCATAATATTGACAAAAATGAGCTGGATACCGAAAAAAACCCATTCAAAATAGTAATTAACATTTCAAGCACACAACACACGCACTAACATACACACTCACACTCACGATATGCTTTGGCCTCTTTCTAGTTTTTATTTTGTCTGACATTTCCGATAGATAGCAATTCCGAATTCCGTTGAAATGGTCGACCAAAGCATGTAAATAAAAAGAATGAGCTACTGCTATAAGTTACTGCTGCTGCGGCATTGATTGTGCTGTACTTTCCAACATATCGTACACTCACATTCATGCAACGTTGTTATGAGAAAAGGTTAAGGTCATTAGCGTCGATTTCTCATTCATCGTACGTATCAGAACCTTTTTTTTCGCCACTTCATACGCATACGATGGCAACGCATTAATATATGTTTTTTCATTGTAATTTCGAGCAATGAATACGAGTAATCAGAATATCGGTCAGTAATTGGGAATTTCCAACGGGCAGGTATACACGAACAATATGCGACGACGGATGCTTAGTCAAAAGAGAATCGAGACAATTGCCTTGTAGCTAGCGATGATTAAATTATCAAGACTGAAATTCAGCGATCGCATCGCGCAAGAACAATGAATGAATTTGGACGGAGTCTGTGGTATGTGGTGGATTTTATTAAATCACGAGATCATTGACATTTGCACTTCAATGAATCAGTCAAAGCAACATCAGAAATGATGCCGTAACACTGAAAGTAGAACATCTTTTCAATTAATTTTTTTCTCTCCTCTTCTGAATGCCAATCGATGAATAGCGCATTGAAACCTGCGGCGATGGAACAGTCGAAGAATATAAAACATAATTAATTCGGGGAATTTTGTATCAGCTGAAGAAAAATCCCAACACAATGAACGTGAATACTGTTTTTTGCGCAGATGCGTGGAGTAAGTGACTCACTTACAAGTCAAGCGAATAATAGTAAATGTGATAATAGAACGGCCAATTATAAACTTCGATTGCTATCAATCTGAAATGAAAATTGATTTCCTGGTAATCATTATTTCCGACTTTTGAGCAATAAAAGCATCATTAAAAACGTTGGAATCTTCTTAGAATATGTAAATAGGGATAATTTCATTTTTTTTTTTCAATTTGCACTAATAACGTTTACAATGTTGAATATCGTCTTTGGAAGAAGATATGATTTGACGTAAATGAAACTATTTTTACAGCTGATGCAGTTTAATCTTCGTTATCATCAATTATAGTTATTTGGATTGATAGAAATCTACTGAGGAAATAAGTTCACATTTATTCCGATGAATTTGATTCAAGTAAGAAAAATCCAAAGACATCTGCAAATAAAACTTGAACTCAAAAGAACAATTTACTTATAAATAGTTCAATTAAGATTAACATTTTTCATTCTATTAAAGCTAAAGTGATATTGAAACATTATCAAGTGACTCGTGTAAGCATACATTTTTGCCATGATCTTCGCATTACTTGCTGGATTCGAATCGAACGCACGGAAATAATCTGTTGAATGATGATGTTCGTTGTCACATAGAACTTGACACAATTCGAAAATCGTATCAGTTGAAATTTTGCGTCTACTTTATTTTTCAGTTCGGGGCCAGTGATGATGATAACTAGCACCGTTTTTCGCCACATAAACGAAAAAAAAAATCAACAACGGTCTATGATAAGGTCTGAAAACAAATTGAAATAAAATCAATTTGAAACCCGGTTCAAAATATGTCTCCCGAAGTATATGTTGTTGCTGAAAAAGTGTTGACTATCCGGTTTTGGATTTCTTCTTGGGTTATCGAATACGGTTTTTTTCTTCTTCTATAAAATCTTTGTGTAAATAGATGTTTGGAACTGGTATTTGTGCTATCGCAATATTAAGATCATTCCACTAGTTTGGTTCTGTATTTATTTTTTGCTTCCATTGGTATCAATTTGGTTTGGTGTTGGTTAATTCAATTGTGAATCGCTTGAATTGCGAGCAATTATTTACATACGGAATCATGTCTGCGTTACAATTGCAGACGAGCAACAAAAAAAAATAGTGAAACAAGCTCATGCTACAGCATCAAGAATGAGATAAACCAAATGAAGAAGCTGGATTTATTGCTTGAATGGTTTTGGTGCTCGTGTACAACACTATGTTAAACACACACATGTGCACGTGCTTACATACATATATATTTCTTGTTTTGGTTCGGGATTTGACTTAGAACGGACTAGCACATTTATATGTCAAAAGTTTTGGAAATATATATATCAGCTATTCACACTTATACACACAAACTGATTGGAATGAATGACTGAACTGAAAAATACAGTACGAAAACGACGACGAAGAAGAAGAAGAAGAAGACAACAACAACGACCAAGTCAAAGCTGGAATCACTTTGCGTTTCTTTGTACACATTGAAAGAAGCATTTCTTGTTTTCTTTTTTCGGTGTATTCAGTGGTGGCGTCCAAATCATGGTCAATGTAAACGAATGAACACAACAACTAAAACGACAACCGACGAATTATGTCTGTTGACTTTAAATTAAAGCCAGAGCAATTTATCGACTTCAGTTTATCGCCGGAGCTCGTGTTCAGAACTTGGCTCTGCCAATAACTGCGAACATGTAAAAGATAGAGCGGATGGGTAGCACTAACACCATTTTTGAAACTGAATTAAATATTAACTTATTCGTTTGATAATTAACTTTGTGAAGTAAAATTCACTTGGCCTGCGCACATACATACATGGTGCGGCGAACAGTGCTATTTTCGGTAGTGCCAAATTGAAGGAAAAGAAACTGTATCAAAAGTAAATTTCATTGAACTTATTAGCGTTCCAAAACCGTTTTTGTGCTAAATCGACATTTTCAATTAAAACCAATTGAGAGAGAGAGAGAGAGAGTACGGTAGCTATTCTCACACAGACATCATGAAAAAGCTTACATTTTCTGGGGCATTTACGACGCTTCTGGTATTAGCAACAATTACTGCAAATGGTAAGTGGAACGAATTGTGTCAATGTGTCCAAAGAACCGAAGAGTGGTCGATTGTCCACACTTGGAGTGTGCAAATAAATTTTTTCGGATGAAAATGGAACAAACATCAAATACTGTCAATATCAGTGTGAATGTGAATCTAAAGTTATATGTGAATAGAATTCGATGAAGAAGAACGGAACGATTTGATCAGGAAGGAACCAGAAACGGTGTGTTGCAATATGAAACATCTACTATTCATATTCGATTTCGAGTTTACTTCAACTAAATGGATTTGGATTCGTTTATATTTTTTTTCCTATCTGGTTTCTTCCTCTTTGCACGGGATGAATATCAAGAACCTGTTATTATAATTATCTACACCGCAGCTTATCAAATATGATCGTCAATCGTCGTATCAGGGGATTTTTTTTTGTCGAGTGATTTTATGAACGTCGTTTGCTGTTTTTGTTCTTCGTATATGCTTGGCTGGTCAATAAAATTACTTTGATTCTTTTTGGATCAATTTCTTTATCTCTGGACATGACAAAAAAAAACAGAAGAGTCGATGGCGTTGCTGTAAATAATTTTAACACGGGTCTGAAACGACCGAAAGATTTTCATTTCGATAACCTTCACATCGAATGTGAGATCAATAACGTTTACATTATCGATTGAAATCTCTTTGAAATGTGATAATTGAACGATACTCATCAAACTGGTTCTAGTAGTCAGACGCTTCTGTCTGCATAGTTTTGTTTCAGATATTCTTTTTTTCATCGGTATATTTACATATGAATATATAGAAAACGATTGCGAAATCAGTGGGCGCCGCCGCTGCGGTAGTTTTATTTCAAAATAGTTTCAAGTTTTTCAAATTTCTTGTTTGTTCTGAATGTGTCATTAGCTTTGTGTAATTTATGGATGATGATCAATAACAAAAATATGAACAACATTTTTCGTTAAAACCGCACGCCGCAAGTTTTCGTTTGAAGTATTTTGTGATATTTTTTTCATCGTCGTTTCATTACAATTGATAACCAAATTCAGGTCGCTTATTAAATTCGTCTTTATCACTTGAATACAATTTTTTTTATAATTTCAAAACAGTCGGAGGTCAACGTCGTATGCCAATTCGGATGCTACTTGAACGCCTTCAAGCACCGGGAAATGAAGCAAGACAATTTAATCAAGCTGGATCACAGAGTCAAGCTCAAAGCAACGCATTGACCAATGCAATTAATATCGGTGGCATTCCAATTACAAATACGGTATCAGGAGCAGAGTCGGCGTCATCGAGTGGAGTGGCATCGGGGAATATAAACGAACAATTCAATTTGGGCGGGTTTGGCGTTAATGCTGGCATAAATAGCCAGGGAGTGGGCAATGGATTTGGTATAAATAGAACACCAGGTCAATTGGGCGTTAATTTGGGTGGATTAAACTTTGGCCTAAGCAACCAAGGTGGATTGTTTGGTGGTGCTCAAAATACGCAAACACAAACATCGGCATCGTCAACAGCGAGCGGTCAAGGTGCAACTTCAACGTCAACATCGAATACACAATCGCATGGCTATAATTTGGGAAATTTACTCAATATTCAGAATACACTATCCAACTCACAAGCACAATCAGCATCGTTGAATGGCCAGACTTCGGCTACAGCTGGGGCAAACGCAGCTTCACAGACCACTAATTCAAATCAAGGATTCTATCAACCAGGTGCGCCACATCGCTTCGGATTTCTAAACTCTGGACGGAGTTATCTAACTAATCCATTACTTATAGCAGGACAACCATTCAATCAGCAGCAAAATTTCGGAAATCCATTCTATCAACAATTCGGATATCCGAATTACAGCCCAAATTATCCAAATTATTCGCAACAGCCTCCACATCATCACCATCCATCGTTCCCGCAACAGCCATTCCCACAACAGAATTTCCCTCAGCAACCTTTCCCTCAACAGATCTTCCCTCAGCAACCTTTCCCTCAACAAAATTTCCCACAGCAACCATTTCCACAACAGTATCCAGGCCAACAATACCCGGGTCAGCAATATCCAGGTTAGTATTTTACCCATTTGTACATTTATAAGTATTAACACCATTGAATTTGGAGAAAAGTTTCGGCAAAAATTTTGTTTATCAAATAAACCGTTTTGAGTAACCAAAATTCGATTTAAACCTTGGAAGGTCAAGGGCAATTTGGAGTTCAACCACTACTTTCTCCCCCAGCTTTGAGCAACAAGCAGCCAAATGACGCCAATCAAGGTCAAACAAACCAAGGAAATGCACAAAATGGTTTGAGCCCAGAATTTCAAGATATTCTGAATCAACAAAATGGACCAAATCAACCGATTCCAACTCCTACTCTGGTTCAAGGTGGCGGCGCAAATCAACCAAATCAACCTTCAATAGATCAAGGTGGCGGTAATAATGTTCAAACTCCAATTGGTTCGGATACCGCAGGCGGTGATTACGACTTAGATGTGAGAAAATATCCGTTATATCATTGATCATTATTAAAAGTTTATTCCAAATCGCCATTTCATGTTATTTGTCCGATTTTAGGTGAGGATTGATGAACTTTTCAACAAAACAACAACAACAACGCAAACTCAGCAAACAACAACTCATACTAAGGCAAAGAGAAGTGTAGATGATGCTGAAGAGCCAGCGCCACAAATCCGTTCAAATCGTCAAAGGCGACATAGGCATCACCATGAACACAGACATCATCATCACCGCGGTGGGTCACCAAATGATGGTTTTGGACCAGGAGGTGGTTTTGATGATCCATCACAAGGCCCACCGCAAAACCTTAACCCATATCAACAGCAAAATGCCAATGGAAACGCTGTTGCCCAAAATAAAAATCCGCTTTTCAACCAAAATGCCGGAGCTAACACACAATCCGCAAATGTTCAAAATCAAGACGGAAATTTCCAAAACAACGGTGCTTCAAGCATTGGATCTAACATTGCTAACGATGGTTCTCGTGGTCAAGTGAGCGCAGCAAACACTGATCAACAGAGCTATAACACAGCTCAAGGTTCTGGACAAAAAAATAACGCGCAAAGTCAGTCGGCGAATTTCGATCAAAACGGCAACTTGTTGGCCAATTCGGCGAACAGCGGTGAGTTTGAATTATTTTCAATTTGTATTCATTGACATTCAATCAAATGTTTATTAATGATAGGCAATCAACACACGATTGGACCGAATGGAGAACGAAACCAAGGATTTGGTTCATCCAATTCGAATTTGCAAAATCAATTTGGAAACCAAAACAGCGGCAGTCAAACAAATACAGAAACCTTCAACGAAAATGGAGTACAAGGATCGAAATCTTCGTCTTCGAGCTTTTCATCTTCAGTGAACAATGGCAATCAAAGAGGCAGACGAAGTGTTGAGGAACCAAAGCCACACGTTCTCACAAACCGTCAGAGACGACATGCTCAGAATTATCCCGGTTTTAATCAATTTCAACCGACAAACTTTGGCTTCCATCAACAAAATGCAAATGGAAACGCGTTAGCCCAAAATCAAAATCCATTTTCCAATCAAAACGCAGGCGCTAATACACAAACGTCAAACATTCAAAATCCATTCGGAAATTTCCAGAACAATGGTGCTTCAAGCATTGGATCTAATATCGGGAACAATGGGCAATTTGGTGAAGTGAGTGCTGCAAACACTGCGCAGCAAGGCTACCAAACGGCTCAAGGATGGGGAAACCAAAACAATGCTCAAGGTCAATCGACAAATTTTAATCCATTTGGACTGCAAGCAAATTCAGCAAATAGCGGTAGGTACCACATCATCTTGCGTGACAGCTTTGGAAATACAGTAGAATTCCGGAAAAGCTAATCGAAATGTCTCAGAGGTGAATAACTTTTCTGGAAGGTTGAAAAAACAGGATTTTTATCTTTTCTGTGACATCCCCGAATATAGTAACTGACTAGTCAGTTAACTGATTTCGAACAAAATTGACTTGCTTTGATTGACATTTCAGTACAAAGTGTAGTGTAAGTCTAACTGAAATCATTTGAAGTGACAAGTCAATGTAAGTTACTCAATTTGGAACAAAGTGATTTTTTTAATAAAAAAACATAAATTCAATCAACTAAAATCAACTGAGGTTATAGTCAGTCAGTCAGTCATTTTTTCACACGGGATTTGATTCATTGATTTTTGAAGAAGTTCTTGACCGAATTTTTTTTTCTCTCAAACCAATACTCCCCTTTTGATTAAAATTTTTCGAAGTGGTCGAAATTCGCTTTTCTGGACAAATTAACTTTTCCGAGATTCTACTGTATATATACAGAACTGAATTACACAATTTTCGAATGATTTCTCAAAACAAAACGAAAATGAGACGAAAAAAACTAAATCTTCATTGCAGGCACGCAACAAATCTTTGGACCAAATGGCGAACGAAATGAAGCAAACAGTGGCTCAAATTCAAATTTACAAAATCAATTCGGAAATTTAAACAGTGGCACTCAAACTATGACATCAACATGGGATGAAAATGGAAACAAAGGCTCATCATCATCGGCATCGAGTCATTCGTCATCGGTATATAATGGCAATCAAATAAAGAAACGCAGTGTTGACGACAAAGATGATGAACCAGCGCCACGAGTACTAACAAATCGTCAAATACGTCAAAAAAGACGCCATCATCATCATGGTGGTGGGCCACCATTTGGCGGTGGTTTCCCAGGTCAACCTCAATTTGGTGGTGGATTCAATCAATTTCAACCGCCAAACTTTGGTTTCCAACAACAAAATGCAAATGGAAATGCGTTAGCCCAAAATCAGAGTCCATTCTCAAACCAAAATGCCGGAGCTAATACGCAAACGTCAAATGTGCAAAATCAATTTGGCAATTTCCAAAATAACGGTGGATCAAGCATTTCATCAAATATCGCCAACGGTGGTTTGGCTGGTGATGTGAGTGCAGCAAATACCAATCAACAAAGCTACCAAACAGGTCAAGGCTTTGGAGATAAGAACAATGCACAAAGTCAATCGGCACATTTCGATCAATTTGGAAACTTGGACACATCAAATGCCAACAGCGGTAAGTGATAGTGATTATTCTATTCCTTTTTGCAGTTTTTTCTTCTCAGTTTGTTCATTTGAATTTCTGCAAATTGTGTTTTCTTCTACAATTAAAAATACCTCATTTCAGGCACACAACACACGTTCGGACCAAATGGTGATCGCAATCAAGCGTTCGGCTCATCGAATGCAAATCAACAAAACCAACTCGGAAGCTCAAATAGTGGAAGCCAAACCAATACTGAAACTTTTAATGAGAATGGTGTAAAAGGTGAAAAAGCATCATCGTCAAGCTTTTCGAATGTTGTAAACAATGGCGGTGGCAATGGAAATTTCGGAACCGATTCCAATTCCAACTCGGGTATTGGAAATAATGGGGCATTCGGAAATTCGGGAGCTAATGCGGGCGGTGCTTTTTTTGGTGGTTTTCCACAAGATTTTGGTAGGTATAGACGAGCGGCAAAAGATGCGTTAGTTTTTCCAAAAGAAGAAGGTGAATCGGTAAAGAAAGACGACAACGTGCAACCTGAAGCTCCAAAACCAAATGTGACCAAAACTGAAGGTGGAAAACCAGGAGAAGCAGCTGGAGGAGTTGAATCACGATTCGGATTTTTCGGCGGCGATGGCGGCGGCGGTGTTGGACCAATCAGGGGTTTGGTGAGAGCACAGATTTACATTTTCGATATGTTATAGCCCAACATATTTATTATTATATGTTATGTTGGGATTTTTTTCTTCTTAATAACGTTATTAAGATTTGGCATAGTCATAACATAACATGTTATGCGTTATGTCGGGTTTTATCTCAATGAATCCTATGATTTAGCGATAATAACATATTATTAAGATGCAATGTTAATAACGCTTTTTTCGCGCATTTTTCAACGATCAATTTCCCGTGTTTTGTCTACATTTCCGTGTGTCTAGTGTACAAAAAAAACTTTCCTGCGCTTTTTCTCTCTCCGGCTAGATGCGCGAAAGAAGCAAGTTATTAAGATTGTATACTAATAGTACGTTATTAATTGAGTTAATAATATCCATCTTAATAATATGTTATTATTATAGTTAATAATATATTATTAGCGCCGGATCATAGGATTTATTAAGATAACACCCAAAATAGCGCATAACATATTATGTCGATATCTTAATAACTAATCGGCCGTTATTATTATGTTATTAAGTATAATTAATAATATGTTATTGCCCGTAAATCTGTAGGTGCGTGAAGTTATAGGCGGCTTGATACGAGGTGGTGCACCACCAGTTGATGAACGACAATATTATGGTGCTTACAATAACGGGCCTGGTTACGGTCAGAGACCACCGTACGAAAGGCCACCATATGAACGTCCGCCATATGGAAGACCACCACCATATGAACGTCCGCCATATGGAAGACCACCACCATATAACCCATATCAAGAACATCATCACCATGGACGACCTGAATATTACCCACCAGGTAATTTGAAATGATACTTTTTAAAAGAAAAACACCTACATACGTTGATACTTCACAGACAGAAAAGTTACACCGATACACTTACAGCAACCAACACAGATACATTGTACTGAATCTGTGTAATTAAGCTGTGAAACATCTGAGATGCGCTGACACATACAAGTTATACAGATTCAGTGTTGGTTGTACAGAATCCGTTAAGTGTCAAATATTATACAGTTGCTGTAAGTGTATCGGTGTAACTTTTCTGTGTGTATTTGTTCAAGAAAAAAAAATAGAAAAATCAATAATTTTTTAAATTTAAATAGGATCACCGTCTGAACACCATCATCATCAACCAGAACCACATTATCCACAACCAGGTGGAGGCGAAAGTTATCCACAACAAGGAGGTGGTCAACAAGTCTACCCAAATCAAAATGTGCCACAAAATCAAGTGCCAGTCGTACCAAATCAACCGTATCAACAACAACAACAACAACAACAACAACAACAACAAGCGAATGCAAATGGTGTAGCTCAGAATCAAAATCAATTATCCAACCAAAATGCTGCATCAAACACACAAACGTCAAATGTACAAAATCAATTTGGCAATTTCCAAAATAACGGTGGATCAAGTATTTCATCGAACTTGGCCAACGATGGATCGTCTGGGCAAGTAGGCGCTGCAAATACTAATCAACAAAGCTATCAAACAGCTCAAGGTTCTGGAGAAAAGAACAATGCACAGAGTCAATCGGCAAATTTTGATAAAAACGGAAATTTGGGAACATCATCAGCCAACAGTGGTGAGTAAAACACGAAATGACAATAATATTACCGATTCGTTGATCTATTGATTATAAATACACATTTTCCAATCACTTTTTTTCCTTCTGCAGGTACACAGCACACAGTCGGACCAGATGGCGAACGCAATCAGGCAAACGGTGCAGCGAATGCACATCAGCAAACGCAATTTGGTGTTTCAGATAGTTCTGCACAAACTAATGCAGAGACATACAATCAGAATGGTGTGTCTGGAAACAAAGTATCCGGCCAATCAACATCATCACAGCATGGTGCTGATGGATCACAGTCACAGGTAAATTTTTTGTTTTAGAAAAATGATAAAAACCACGTTTTTGATAAACGAAGAAATAAAAAATTTGCCGAATTCTTAAAATTTATTCATAACATTTTAGTCAACGAGTGGTTCAAAAACCGAAACTTTCCAAGGCCCAAATGGCATACAGGGCACTTCCTCATCTAGTCATTCATCTTCGCAGAATATCGGAAACGGTGGAAATGTAGGCACATCATCTTCATCGGGATCGGGAACGAGCCCATATGGCAATCAAGCGTTCAGCAACAGTGGCTCATTCAATCAATCACCGCTCGGTGGTGGTGGCACCCAAACCAATTCATTCAGCGGTTCAAATCAATTCGGATCGAATGCTGGAGCCAATTCAAATTCGTATAATAATCAATACAATCGGCCGGATCAATTTGTTTTCTCAAAATAATGTAAATAACAAAATAGTACGCTCTCATGTTAGCTATTAGAACACATTTTTTTTATAATATTGAAAACCTTAAGAAGTGATCAATTTCGCGATTTCTTCTTTAAATAAAACAAAATGATAAGAGAATAATGTACGTCATTTTATTTTGATTGAGAAAAAAAAAACACTTTGAACGAAACATTTGGGCTTTTTGATTGAAAAAAATAACAATTATACTATCACCGGGAGTGCAACGTAACAGCGAATGTCGTTAATCAATATTTTTTTTGTGCTGAACGTCACGTCTAGATAAACAATGTAGCGCAAAACTGGTGCCCCCGAAAATCAGCCCATTCTCTTTTCGATAGCCGAAGAAGCCTATTCTTCAATGTCAACTGTCGTTGACACCAAAATTTTGTTTTGTCTCCTGTCTCGTTGTGACAAAGTTCCCATGTGAAAAAAAGCTCTGTGAACAAATGCATTGCGAGGCGCCTGGCGCTCGATTTAGTTATACATTCGTCAGTTTCGCTTTTCTCCACCAAACATCTCTTTGAAGCCGTTTTTTTTTTAAACCTAAATACTTGCCATCCCACATAAATTGTGATTGTGTCCGTCTGTGTATTGAAGCTTATTCTTTCTTGTTGGATTAAAGCGTGGATTTGGTTGGCGTTTGATTCCATGATACGAACCGCTTTGAACGATATATTGACCTCAATAAAAACGCATCACTCCATTTCAATTCACGAGTGGACTTTTTTTTCCACTTCATGACCTTTCAACTAACTTTTGTTGTCCACACGAAAGTTTTGATTGATCCGATGAACATTTGTAATTGAAATGTCAAACGGCACTGAATGATTCAGCATGAATGTTTGATTTGTAACAATTGCTTCGGTAATTTCCAGTTGACAATTAGAAATTCAAATACAACGAGAGAAATGCTCGTAAAACGATGCACTTTTGCAAATGATGCAATTTGTGCATCATTCACTGTTACATGAGCATAATCGATGTGTCGCCGGCGCTTATTTTCACGCATCACTGACCAAAAAGAATCCCATTGATAACAAGACAGAGCGAGAGTTCGTTCTAATTTGTTCTCGCGTCAATGAGTAGCATCGACAGTGAAATTGAGTCGCAGTTTGCCGGGTGTTTTTTTTAGTGTGAATGAGTAAAAATTAAGCGTCCATTGTGTTTGTTCAGTGCACCGTTGTCCGCCCTATGGTTCAGTCAAACCCAAACTTGGAAGAATGGACGTTTTTGTGAATTGATTTTGTAATAATCACAAACAGAATAGAAGCCTGACAACGACAACGAATACGGTGATGGGGAAAAATATTGCTGGTACAACTAAAGAGAAAAAAAACAGAGCTGAATGGATGTATAGCAAATTTTGAATGGAATTTATCGCTCAAGCTTGAATATTCTCTTGCACACGATTTATGTGCTAATTTTTTTATTTTCACTTGTGTGGTCCTTGTTCCAGCTCTGGCACAAACTACCAGCAACTACATATCAACATGAAACGACATGTCTGGAAACTCATTTGAATTGTAGATTTTCACCGAGGGAAAAAATGAATGGAAATGCAAAAAAAAAAACAATGAATAAGTTAGTATATTGTCCATCAACTATCAGTATCAAATGCACCGAGTTTCATGATCAATGCATACAATTTCAGCTCTGTCAGTGATTCTGGTTGAATTGACTTTGGCCACACATTCCATTAAAGGCCACAGCTTTCACGAATGGTTGCAGTAGGGATAAAGAAGAACTAGTAAAAACGTAGTATGAATACGAAATGACTCAATTTGAATGTGCATCAATAACTAAATTAATAATGTGAAGACTGTGTAATTAGTTCAGCTCATGTGGCTGCTGTTGCTGCTGATGTTGGTGTTGAAAAGTGGAAAACTGCTCTCGTGTCGTGCTGCTCCATTTTGTGTGACAACGCGTTTAAACCATTTCTCGATTCACACTGAAGACTTGTTATAAATGATGCGAAAATTGCTCACATTATTTTTAGTCACGTTCGATTAACCAGTTCCTTCAGTTTTCGCAGTATTCCAGATAAGATACCACGTAACAATCCGAATTCCGCAAACGTAAGCATCGAAACCCGACAAGTGTAGAAAAGTGGAATGTTATATGCTTTATCTCGTCCCATTCTCAGGCTACAGCATCTTAAAGCAATGCTGAGCTGTGAACAATGTCGTGTCTATGGGCTCATGTGACAAGGAAGCGTTGCACAGAGATAACACTTGAATAGTGTCACAGTCATTATTATTCCTGCCAGCCGCTTCAGCGGAGCATCATTTTGTCTACACGAAGAATTCATCATTTTCCACACAAGCCTTACCATTCAATTTTGGGGGAAAAAATGTCATAATTCCACAGAAAAAGAGCAAAGCCTTAAATCCTTCACGTAAAACGAACGATTGTATTTCATTTTGTATATTATTGTGATCGAAATCTGTTGTTTTCTAAAAGTGTTTTCACCGAATAGAGTTTCGTGGAGATAAAAAAGCGAATTCTTTTCTTGACTGATCCAATTGCGAAAAATGCACAGAACTGACACAAAATGGCATTGTAAGTTTTGTATTGAATGAATGGCTTCACTTCAAAGTACTGGAGTTCATTCATTCGCTGTCCATTCTCAAAGTTTAGCTCATCATTCCAAGTGGTAAACTTTCCGAGGAATTTCGAAACGAGTGTTTTGGTCTGTTTTCACATTGTTGCTAAAATCACGTCAATTTCCATGTAAATGTCTTGCATTGAGAACTCACCAGAAAGACATTTAAAATTTTATGATCGGTGTCTAGACGCATAGCACAAACTTGAGCTATTTCTTAACCGAATACCAGTAGCAGCAGTAACAGTTCAAGTTACTTGTCTAATAAAATGCGATTAACACGTTCGTGTTTGTCGGGCAAATGGAAAGTGTTTGCAAAATATTAACTTGAATCAACGATGTGCGTTTATTACCCATTTAATTAGTTCATTCGTGGAAATCATTGCCATTTCTTTTTTTTTATCCCATTTTTTACCCACTAAATTCACTCGAAAAACAACATAGACGCCATTTTATTAATAAATTTAATCGAAAAACTTTTCGAAGCTGCTTAAACAAAATCTATTTCCTTTTATTTTTCATATGTATGTGTATGTTTGTGTTTGTTTGCTGGTTTCTTATTCTCTTCAATACTCTCTCACCAGCTTAGTCAGAGCACAGCAATTATTCAAATAGTTTTTGATAGCTCATCGTCTCAACCAAATTAAGAGTGTGTTTTTAAAAGGGTGCTAACAAACTTATCTGAACATGGAAAAGTTTTCGAAGCATTATAACATTTACGCTGAGACAGTGAATGAGAACTCAACGTCGGTTTTTCAATGGAATCCATCAAAATGCCAACAAGGTATTGTTTTAGCGCGCATAACATTAAGTTTTCGAGTAAATATTCCAATATTCGGTGGCAGAATTGAGCAGAACAGAAGCGCGCTACTCGCTCCATTTACATTGGCTACGAGATGAGATTTTGTTCTTTTGACTGTTTATTCGCTTTAATTATTTGAGATATGGAAAATGATGGTTTGGATAATAATTTCGAAATTATGTTGACTTTTGAGCCATCAATTTCGATGAACTAGTGTATAAGATGGGATAGAAGATTTAAGCACGTATTTCCATCATATAACTTCTGTTTGATTCTTCTTCTTCTTCTTCTTCCACGCCAACATCATCAAGAAAGTTTTTGTTAAAGAGACAGATGTAAAATGCACGCATTCCGGTTCAACATGTGTTGCACACTCCGCATCGCAGCCTCCTTGGTCTTTGGACCAAAGCGATACATTATGGCATTTAATTTCCAATTACATTTTCGTTTGAGCGTGTGTGTGTGTGTGTGTGTGTATGTTTGCTTGTGCATGAATGTGTTCAAGAACCGTCATCACTAGGACACGCATCGAGAAGTGAAGTGTATATAAAAGTCGCATAAAATCCACACAGAAAAAGGTCAAATCCAATTTGTGGGCAATAAAATAGGTCAATAATAGCAGCAAATTTCGTTAAAATGTTGTAAAAGTTTTGCGAAGAATGACTTCGAAAATGGAGGAATGAAGGTAGGGAAGAGTAAAAGTTACCGAGAGAAAGAAAAAAAAGTTTTTCGGTCGGTAAGAATGATTTTGGCTGGTTGTGCGTGTGCTACGGAAACCAGCATAAAAAGGGCCATCTTAAAACAGTACAGAGAAACCGTACTCCGACTCTCGCTCACATACAGACGAATTTGTCTGATAGCGAAAAACAATAATACTAATTCTGGACCAGAGAGGAAAAAAAAAACGAAGATTGGAAGCGAAGCAGCAGGTTAAACGCATAGCATGGCCATTTCGAGGCATTAACAGATGCGTCTAACGATATATACAACATGTTCATTGAATCGATTTCGACGGCAAAAACCATCGTTAAATTGAATTTTTATTCCGGCCAACACTTCGTCTAATTCAATTTCGTATCGAAACGAATGCCGCCAACAACGATAAATCACAAATCTAATTTCATTACATAATTTTTTATTGTTTTTCTAAATTGAACAAATTTTTTTTTTCTCGCCAGCGTAAGTTTCTAAACAACATCGGAAATCATTTCCTTCCTTTCGTTCCGTACGTTCGTTGGTTGAAACTGAAGAAAGTGCATTTAATTTTGCTCAGATGTTAAAATAGCATACCTATTACATTTGCTAATTACGGGGAGTGAATGCGTTACAACCAGCTCAAGCTTAGACGTGTGTTATGAAACGGGAAAATAGGCTGAACATGTTAGACATTACTGTCAAAAGATACAACCAATTTGGAGGCGATTTAATTTATGCCTCGAAATGCCACGTGTCGGCTGTATATACGTACGTACATGCATTGAAACCACTCATCTATTGACATGCCAACACACAAAATATCGCCTCGGTTTAATGTGAATATGTATCCGAAGGTCGACATCACCATGACATAGCAGCAAAGCGTAGCGCGTCGCTATAAATCGAAAATATCTATTGAACTTATTTTTGAATATTGCAAACGCAGCGATGGAAGAGGAAGCAACCACCGTCTGCCTTCGCCGCCTTCGTCGTCGTAATTCGTCGAACATTGCTCGT